AACCATATAATATAACTAGGTCGGGCTGTATCATGAGCTGATAATTGATGCTTGAAAGGAAATTTGGACTTGGGCTGTATCATGTGAGCTGATAATTGATGCTAGGAAGGAAATTTTAAGATGTTGCTTGGAATTTTATGAAATGTTTGATTTCTCGTTGAATACAGGATGAACACACAATCTTTACAACACCAATTGATGTTTTACATAATTATTGTTCAATGTATGTGTGTGGATTTTTTTATAATTTTAAACATTGAAAAGGATAGCTCAGTAACCCTTTATAAACAGTTTTTCTGTATGATGAGTTCTTCTTGTGTGTGTGTGATTATAAATATTTTCAAAAAAAGATCTTTGTCTTTAGAATACAAAAACGTTTTAAGTAACTTGTTAAAAGAGAAAAGAAATTTGCTCGCTAAATAGTCCTACTATTTTTTATAATGAAATAAAAATGCTCTGGTTTTACATATGATTAATTTTGTTATAGTTTGAAAATGTATTTGAATAAGATTGTATGATTAATTAGACTTGTATTTTATGTCATCTTTTGTGTAAGAAATATTGATTGTATAATGAAATAATCTAAGAATGTGTTTGATTCATCATTGAATATTTCAGAACATATTCAATGTTGTACTTTGATGTATTAATGTCAAAGAATGCCATGTTTTAAATTCCATAAGTAAAAGAAAATCAAATAGGATTTTATACTCAATGTATGTTTAAAGTTTTGGACAAATTGATGACATCCTGCATCCAGTGAGGGAGGGCAAACATAAAGAAAGAAACATGTTCACTTTTGTCTAGACTTTTTTTCATTATTAAGAAATAAAATTTAGCTAGGCTGTGTGCTTGCAGTTTCTTATGTGTGCTAAGAATTTCACAATAATTCACATTCACCACCTATCCCTTAGTTAAACCGTTGGGGCACCACCTATCCCTTAGTTAAACCGTTGGGGCACCACACATTATCTGGTGACTATCTTTCTCCTTTCTTTTGCCTTGAATAGAATCTATTTCAATGACAGGCCCATCCATTCTTCCCATCACTTTCTCTGTCTGCCTCTTCTTCTTTTCCTGGTACTATTCTCTGAGGGAATGTCTTAGGAAGCCCTGGGGACATTTTGGTATGGCCATAATTTTTTAGTTTGCATTTTTTAACAGTTGTCAACAGGTCATCGTGGGGCCCAATAGCCATTATGATCCTGTTTGTAATCTCATTTGTGATGCAGTCTTTGTAGGTGATACCAAGAATCCTATCTCTTAAGTTTCATTACTAGGATCCTCTTCTTTAGTTCTGCAATCATCATTACTAGAATCCTCTTATTTAGTTCTGCAATCATCATTACTAGAATCCTCTTATTTAGTTCTGCAATCAGGCATTTCGTTTTAACCAAGACTCGTATTGCTATCCACAAGTGCTGCATATATCAGATGACAGAAGAAATTATAAACATGTTGCTACTATGCTAAAATCTTTTTGTTTTAGTTGTTTTCCATATAGACCATCCCTCACTGGAATCCACTCTAAATAGTCCTAGTATTTTTTTTTCTATTTTAGCTTGTATCCTAAGTTTGTATAGTGTACAAGGTCAAGTTTTTTTGTTTGTTTTTTTAAACAAAGGCCTGATATTCTTATTTCATTTATACGATATACATTATACATCACTAAAATTATGGTGTTACTTCTGTGGTTCTGATACATGAAACTACGTAAAAGCCTACATAATTGAAGGGATAAACAAATCAAAAACAGGCTCCTGGAGTCTTGAATGATTACTCTGAAGAAGTAAAAGTATAAAATTCCCACTGAAACAATTTTCCCTATTTTATTTGCAACATTAGATTTGAATTCTTTATCTGTTGTTTTTTATACATCAACCAAATTATATTGATGATTTACAGCCGTTTCTGTAAGTGTAGCAACATTTAGTTGTAATAATATATAAGAAAATAAGTATTTTCTTTAAAAAAAACAACATTTATATATATATATATATTTCAATGTTTAGATTTACTATTTATTTCATTTTTTGTTTCATTTGTGATTTTCATTTATTTTTTTATTTGGATGACTTGAACTTGATCATATTCTATGGTGCTCTCTGATTGTGTTGCTATAAAATAAAAATTAATATCATTTTTAATTGATGATGTTTCATAACAAACTATTGTGTATCATATATGTAGTATACATTTTGTTATTGTTGTTTTTAACAGAAGTTTGATTTTTATGTTTGGTTTATCTTTTGAATAATTTAATAATTAATTTATGTTTTATTTATAGCTCACCCCACATTACCATTTTTAATGATCATAGCTTTTCTGACTTTTCTTGTCCTCAAAGCTTCCAGTTTTCTATTCATTGTTAGATTATTTAACCTTCCAAACTCCACATTGCTTCATTCGGTGATGTCTGTCAACCCCTGTTTTATTAAACTGTGTTAGTTGCTATGATCACCATGGCTATAAGACAGTAAGTATGAAATGTTTCAGTTCTTGTTGTTCTTTAAACCTGGTAGGACCATTATAATATTTGAACACAGCTTACTATTCTACTAGTGCATTGAAGAAGCTTGGTTTCTGAGCTTTGCCATGGAGTGAATCATTCATCAAACCAATCTTGTTCTCTCCATTGCTTCGCTTAACACTCGATATTTCCTTTTCATTAGAAATTTCACAATTTAAAAATGGGCGCTGAATATAAACATGTAAAAATGAGCAAGGTTTTGCCATCAATGTCATCATTAGGCCTACATTTGCAGAAATGTGTTTTTGGATCAGGTTTTTTTTTTTTTTGGAAATATCACCACAGTTTATTCTTGAGAGACTGCATGAATGTATAACAATAGGTTTATTTTGTTACATGAAATGTGTACAGATCCTAAAGGCTGAATGAGCGTAACTTATTGTACATTAAATGATTCACTGATAGAGCAAGGGATCAACGTTCAGTTTTTGTTATAACAGCATGTTACAGTATTCAGCAGATGCTTTAATTGTTGTGTTTTTTGTCAATACAAAGAGACTGGGTTTATGTACAAGAAAAAAAAAAAATTTAGTCCTACCCAAAGTTTATTTTTACAGTGTTTTTTTTCGCCCTTGTTTGTTTGTTGTCTCTTATACTTAAAGCTGTGTAAGATTGTATAAAAATGCTTTTAAAAAAATGAAATTCTTCCTCTTATTTCTTGAGTATTTTCTGTTAAATTTTTTTTTTAATAATGCCATTAGTTTATTTAACAGGGCATTTTAAACATTCATAAAAAAGAATAAACTTTTTTTTTTCTTAAAGATATGAACTGTTAGTGAATTAATATTTAAAATCATTATTTTTTACTTCTTGAACGAGTCCTGGTCTGGGAAAATGTAAAGTTAGTTCTTCCAGGGCATGTAGGCATTTTTTTTATTATTTTGATCTTATTGTTACTATGTAAATATGTTGCCTTAGTTATTGAAGCATTATGTTTCAAACACCTTTTAGTGTGGAAAAAAAAAAGCTCAAATCATGGTAAATCAAAGCAAATTAATTGCTGTACTGTAATCAGCAATAAATAATTTTTTTTTTTAAACAAGTTAAGCATTAAACTTTAGATCTTGGTGTACATAGGGTAATCAGTTCTGTAAATAAATTTACCGTTTAATTTAAGATAATTATTTCAACTTTCCTTTTTTTTTTCTGTTTATTTTTTTTTTTTTATCTATAGTCACTTCCACGTCATGGGCTGGACTAGTTAACAGAATCATGAATGTTTATAAATATATATTATAAATATTGTCTGCATGAGTTCAATGTTCGTTTCAGCTATTTAGGATAGTGAACAAATCTTATTTCTCGCTTTTGGAGTTGGAATATTACATTCATAAATACTTCAATGCATATGTTATTTGTTTTAACCATTGTTTCACTTATGCAATTTTAATACTTTTTACATTATTTTTTTTTTACCCTTGCATAACATATACCATTTTTAACTTTTTGAAAGTCTTTATTCTGTCTACTCTTTCTAGCAAGAGATTTCTTAATCTCATAGCCTTATAGCCATCAGTGCATCTTTATTCTAGTTAGCTAATTATTATTAGAGAAATAAAATTATCTAGGGTATCTGTATACACTTCATTCTGTCATTGAAAAGTTTGACCAATGCTTATGTGTTAAATATACTGCTTAACAAAACTTCTGGTAGGTGGCATACATATCACTTAAATCTTGTTAAAAAAAAATCTATATATATAAAATAAAATAAAAAATGGCAACAAACGAATGAGCCTCGTGGACAATAAGTTGAAAAAACTTATTAAAAAATACTACTCTAAAGTTACATCTTAGCAAAAGGCTATTCTATGTCTGTTAATAGAATGAGTACAATTTTACCTATAATAGTTCCCTGTTGATCATTGTGTTCTGTTTTTTGGAGTCTAACATTTACTTTGATATTTTTCTGATTAGACATGTAAGTCTGTTATGTCCAAAGTCAGCATTACTTACGATGTGAAGAAGTCCCTGAAAAACATAGCTATGGTTTCTTTTGACCACTTTTAATTTTGTTTTTCTCATTCTAAAAGGGTTCCAGTCTAGTGCCTCTATTCAGCAGAAGATTCATATTGATATTTGACTTATGTTCAATTTAATTTCATTCTAATCACTGCAGCTGTATCCTCTCCTCATCTTGTTATTGGGTTGAAGAAGCAGATTTTTTTAGAAAGGACAGCATTATGACAACTATGGCAATTACATTAACAGCTGCATCTTTTAGTTTGTTTCTAGAAATGATCCATTCCCTTTGCTACCGTTCATGTGACTAAAAAAGAGACCAATCCTTGATACACATTGCATGTTCCCAAGTTAGACATATCTAATTACCAGACACTGTAGCACTTTCAGCTTTTTCCTGTGTGCAAGAATAATAATTTAGTATTATGGTATTTCTGGATTGGGACAACCAAGTATGAACAATCTAATGTAACTTAAAGAAACTAATCTAAAAAGTAATAATTGTGCAACACTGTTAATATAGTTTTTATTAGTTCCATCTATTCCAGACTGCACTTGCAAATGTAAGAGAAAGCACAATTAGCTTCCACCAAGTTCTTCCATTTCAGTTAAATTTGAATGAGTATACATCTTTGTTTCAATGTATATGCAGTTATCACCCCACTTTTATTATGCAGCCTTTTTCTTGTTGGCCAAAAGTAATTTAAAACAAAGTAATAATAATAGTAGTAGTATAGTGTTGATTAGCAACTTCTTTCTTCTGCTTTATAAACACTTTATAACACATGAAACATTAATGCAGAATTTTAAAGGATGAATTTTTAAATGAAATTGTGTTAAGGAAAGTTTAAAAAAAAACAACCATCAAATAGAGAATAATAAATATCACTTTATTGAACATGCAGTCCACAGACTAGTGTGATCTGATGTTAATCACATTATTTTAAAATAGTTTGATGCAGCCATTGATCAACTGTGCAGTACTATTTGTAAGAGTATTCATGTAAAAGAGAAAGCCTCTGTTTTTAGTTTGAGAATAAATTCAAGTAGTGAAAGATGGTCTCTGTTTATTGTTAGATATTAATGTAAGCTGCTTATTTCATTAACTTGGTTGAATTTTAATCTTTCTGCATCTACAAAGGAAGTGTACATACATGATTTGCTTGCTTATTGTATTAAAATAAATAAATGTCCATTGATTTTTACACCAAGTATTTGTTCATTAGACATGCTTAGCTACTTAACAAACAGCTACAAATTTTTTTGTTTCACGTTTGGGTGTTCTTTTAGAACTACATCCTAAATCCAACTCCCGCAGGACGTTTGTCAACCATCAAGATAGTCCAAAACACATCCAAAATGACCAGCTAGCCATCCAAAATTGATAAATCCCAGTTACAAAAATAAATAACCTGATTGCTGGAATTCCTGATGATAGCAGTTACAAATAATTTTGCTGGAATTTCTGATGATGGCATGGTATGAATAGCCAAACTTAGAAATCAAAATTTCAGTACCGACTATTTAAAAGAAATAATTTTAAAATTTGAATTGAATCAGAGCATATTTTTATCTTTTCTATCCAGCAAAATGACAAAAATAAAACATATGAATTTAAAAATGAGAATGGAATTTGAGCATGTCTCTCTATCCAAAACAGTGACATTTATTAGTTGTAACCAAAACTTATTAATTGTAAATCTGAGACACACAAATAAATTGGAAAGTTTCCCTAACATCTCCTTAAAGGATAAGTGTTTGTTGTGTTACACGTTTCGGATGTTCCTTCTGAGTTGAAGATAATTTATTTCCTAGTGCAAGCGTCCCGCAAGAGGATGGGAATAGTAGCGGGCAGGGTATGAACCTGGGACAATCGGCAAGTTCGAACAACAATCCAGCGCGACCAGGCAGCCACCAGGAAGACAATGGTTCAGCAAATATTTATTTTTTGCACTACAAATAATAAGTAATGAAGGAAAGAAATGATTTCAAACTAAAACACAAAAATAAGGCAACCAACCAAGACAATGTGATCCAGTAAACAAACTTTAATTTTCATTACAGCAGTTCATAATTATAATGAAATGGTTGAAAAACATTGTTCCGACAAAAAGCTAAATCCATACAAAAGTTAAAAAGCGCAAAAAGAACATACTTTGAATTATCTTTAATTTAAGAAATCACATTTGATTGACTTTATAATATAATAGCCACAGAATAAAAACTCAAAATATTTCATCCAAATGGAAGACAATGATACCATAGCTCTAGACTGTATAGTTTCTAAAACTTGATAATATTTGTTGATATCCTCTTTAAAATAATATCACACAAACAGGAGAAAAACTGTAATTCCATTAAATGCGCTACATAAATATAAAGACACAACCTATTGTTAAAAATGTAATTTGTGGAAAAAAAAATTACTGGCTCAAATTAAAAAAAAAACATGATGGAAGGAATAATTAAATGCCAAAAGATTATGGTAATTAATTTTTGGATTTAATAAAAGTTTAGTGCACAATGTCTTTACTTTGTAAGCCTTCACAATATAATTTCCTTTTCTTAAATCTTATTTTCTTTTAAATATAGTAACATAGAAAAAAAAGTAATCATTTTATATACCCGTTGTGTGAATATCAAGGTTTTAGTGATTATGTAAAGAGGTAGCCAGAGGAAAAGGGAGCTGTGGATCATGCAGAGTGGAGTCATTAGAGAAAACAAACATAAAACTACCGGCTTGAAATAAGACTAAGTGCCTAAGATAGTAGATCAAAAGAGGTAGAAGCTTCAATCGGCAAAGAGAATACCTAAAAAAAACTTTTAAAAAATGGCATTATGTTAGCTTTTTACAAAGAATAAAATGGAGAAAGATTTCACTAGCAAGACATTTGCTACTTATAATAATAGTTCTAGTACAAAAGTTAATGATGACTAGATTTTTTAATTGTAGGACAACTGTTGCCCCTTGGACAGAATGGTACTAAGTTTGTATGTACAGTTTCCCTTCAAGACTAAAAACCAAGTGAAACAGATATGCTAAGTAAGCATACCTAGGAAATAGCCTCAGCGTGGTGTAAAAGGCAAGCACATTTCCAATCAATCTACAGAATCCCATTAAGTGGGGACTTACAATGGATAGCGCAATGTAATTATTCAATTGGATTGATCAAAAAGAGTTTGACTACATTTGATTATCTAACACTATTTTTTTTTACTGGCTGATTATTTAGTGGCGAAAAAAATGAAAACTTCAATGCCAAGCAAGTGACAAAAGAGGAAGAACATATTAACAAGACTGATATTTGTTCCTAAACAGACCCAGACAAAAGCTCTGTAAAGTTAGGATTTTTTTGACAAATTGAAAGGATTGTACTAAAATGTAAACACTCATGTTTGGAGGCATAGAAAGAAAAGGATTAATTCAACCATAACTTGGTCATTAAAAAGGAAGCTCTATGTACAGATAGCATTTAGACCTCAAAATGTACATTTACTATTCCCTGCTCCAGCTTATAATAATGTTTTACAATTAAATATATTAAAGATATAGTGCTATGAAAAGACTTAAAGAAAAAAAAAACATCACACATTTTTAGACTCAAGAAAAGCAACCAAAACCAAATGAGTATGTCAAACATTTGATCAAATGTCATCCAAAATTGTGCTTAGCATATCATAGCAATGTCTCAGAAAAAGAAGAAAAAAAAACAAACTCTTCTTCAACAACAAGAAGATAAAGCTGAAACACTCTTATGATTTTGAAATGTACAACATCTACATAAGCTTAAAAGTGCATTGAAAACAGACAACCAAATGTACAAAATTTACAAATAAACCACAACATCTAACAATATCTTCGTGCTACATGCAACAAGTTAACAGAAATGAAGACAATTGGCATCACATGAATAATATCATTGTTTTTAAAGCTTCGTATAGATACATTTTCCTTCTTTTATCATCAAACATTGTTTACCAAGGTAGGAGACAAATGGAGTATACTTATACTGCTAGAAAGTAAGCAGGCATTGTTTTCAGCAGTTAATTCTCTTGAATTTCCATTCATCTGGACTTTTTTCCTGCACTTTCTGTTGTTTCATTGGAAAATAAACTTCTAGTAATACCTCAACTAGAAAGGGGATCTTAATGGACAATGTTTTTGTAAACACTATTTTGGATGTTCGAGTTGAAGATAATTTACTTTCTGGTTCAATCCTTCTGCAGGACGATGGGGGATGGGAGCTAGCAGGGTTTGAACCCATGACCATCAATAAATCAGAATGAAAGTCCAGCGTGCAAGCCACACGACCAGGCAGCCATATGTTCTTGATGAAGTGTATAACAGTACTTAGTATTAAAAATGTGATAGTAAAATTGGTCATGTCATTTATTTTACAAACAGCTTTAAAATTACTATCACATAGGGTATTGGGTGCACAGTGATCAACTGTCACTGTTAAGACAGATGCAAACAGTTAGACTACAAAAAAAATGTAACACAAAAAAAATGCTTTTCTGTAATCTTATTTGCTAATAAAAATGATTAGCTTAGAAAAAACAAAACCACTGCCTTATGATTTGTGCTGAGTGGATGAGTACATACAAGGATCATTTTTTTACATCTATCAACTTTGTGAAAGTGAACGAATGCATACAAAAAAATTTACAAATACAAATTTTCTTTTTCTACATCTGATAAACATTATGAGTAAATAGAACATATGAATGCTATCACTATGCCATTTACTATCAACTAATAAAACTATCTTGGTTATGTTTAAATATACAATTTTACTTTTTAAAATAAAGTAAAATGTATAATTTACTTGTCTAGTTAAAATGATATACTTTTATACTTATCCTATGTACTCATTTGAAAGACTATTACAATTTTAAATACAAGTTTTATTGTTTTTCTAATTCACAAATCTTTACAGAATACACATACAAAATAAAAACAATTCACTTAGATTTACATTTCTCAGTCAACATAAATACATTGTTGTGGAGTGTCAACAACTCATCAAAAAGAAACAAAAATCTTATGGGATGTAGATTTAGAATAAATATACACAGCAGATTCCGAATGGTTGTCATTGCCGCAACTGATCTAATAATTACTCCACTACCTATAAAATGCTTCCAATGACATGCGCCTCAAATAGCCTCTCTGACAACCAGTCCAACTCCTGGCCCTCACGTGTGGCTCAGATATTAAGCCCAAAGGAACTGTTTACACTAATAGGAAGTGGGACGAAGGTGAGTAACTGGTGCCTAAACAAGTAAGCTTCGTGCAGGAGGGGCTTGTTAGCCTTGGGGACTGCTGTGTGAGTGATATAGATCCAACCATAGGTAATGCCCATAGTCGCATTATGACTGAAGGAGGTCGTATATATTTATACACAATATTACCTTTTAAGTTTGGAAAACATTTTTGTTTAGATATTTTAAAGAAGTATCTCAATGCAAAGAAATATAACTTAAGTCTAACAACTAAACTACTTTTATGGATATTTATATCCATTAATACTTCAAGATGGAGAATCTAGGAAGAAGACAAAAGCAATTTCAGTTTTTTTTTATAAAACTAAAAAACAAAAAGTATGTTCTTGTTATGGCAGTTACTGCAATATTTGTAGAATTCAAGTCAACAACTAGTGAAATAAAGATGCCATTTTATTAAACAAATATTATAGGCAGCTCAACAGCCTAGAGGTTCTTCCCAATAGTATGTGTTGTTTTGATACTCTGTACACCAACCCATACATATGTAATGTTTCTTTCCTTATTTGTAATATTTGTAATAACTCCCCTATCTTATGCAAATCAGATTATAAAAAATTCATCAATAAAATTATATTAATTTGCTATCTCAAAAACATCCACTGTGAAGGGCTATAAACTCACTGGGTTAGCAAATATATGTTAAAAGGATGGTCACTTTTTCCATTTCTATGAACCACCCTATGAAGTCCCTGAATCATTGTTAACAAAAAAATAGGAGCCAATAAATCTGTAAATACTAGTCCTGGCATTATGTAGCAAAATTAATGGCACAAACTTGATATTAACATTATGGTTTAAATCAAGGTTTTCCAACCTGCTCAAAAATAAAAATAGGTATCAAATGTAGTTTTTCTTTGTCTTAGACAAATGAACATTATGTAAACAGCCAAGAGATGTCAGTTCCTCACACAATTGTA